GGCGTTCGGGCTAGCGCTCGTGCCCGCGCTCGTGCCCGCGGGGCGAGCTCACGGGAACGAAGACAGGATAGACGCTACCGAGCCGCCATTCCAACGCAGGCGCGGTGGCCAAGTGGTAAGGCGTCGGTCTCGTAAACCGAAGATCACGGGTTCGAACCCCGTCCGTGCCTTGTGTTAAGTCCTCTTTGCGGAAGACTTTTTAGAAGTGGGACTACTTTTCACAGCGCTCATCGGTAGTCTACACCCGCTGGTGCCGCGTTCAGATCTTTACCTCTGGGTCCCGACCGGGCCAACCCTTTTCACTCAGTTTGCGTTCAGACTCTACTCCCGCCCCTACAGTCTGGGAGGCCCGCCCAGCGGGCGCACAGCACTCTCTCCCCACCGGGCACAGCGGCCCCTCCATCCCCGGGCCCCGGGCGGCCCCTGGGGAAGGTGGGGGGCTCCGGTGGGCGGGGGTCACAAGCTCCACTGCCCCAGGGGTCACCTGGAAACCGTGACCTGCGGGAAGGCTCAACACCCTTCGGGCAAGACACCTACAGTTGATGGCACTTGGCTCAAGAGCCACTAAGCTCTTTTCTGCACTCTGAAGTCCAATTTTATCCTCTAAAGAGAACTGCCGTTGCTTGACTCTGAGCCCACACCCGGAGTCAGCTGGCGTCTGGCTTGCTATTTTACAAAGAAATCCATCGTAGGCTCTGCATCAGAGAGAGGAAATGCTGCCCAGGCTTGCAGCAGCTCTGACATGAAAACTGAACCCTCTCTCTGGGCCTCCGTTTGCCCCTCTGTATAATGGGTCTCTTTCCAGCGTTGGTGTTGAAGCAGCTGCCAGAGATAGGTTTAAGTAAAAGGAGATGCGGCCATACGGGCACCTGTTTGCACCAGGAAAGGATGCACACGAGCCTGCTCGAGTGAGTTTATGGAGATTATGCCACGACCTCCATCAGCCTCCAGAAATTGTATAATCTGAAAAACAGCCTGACCTAAACTGGAGGAACCTGTGTTAGCCCCAGATACCTAATTGAAGAAAGTACTAATGGAGCGCCTGGTGTATGCCTGGTGGAGCTGGATCTGGGTACCTCTCTGATAGACAAAGGGGTGATAGATGTGATGGGGGGCGGGAGCCTGGCAGGAGAGCGGGTAAGAGTCCCCACTTTTCAGCAGTGGTTCCCGCACTTCCCCTCTCACGGAGTTCATCAGCACCTCTGGGGAACTTGTTAAAACACTGATCGCTGTGCCCACCTCCACTGCGTCTGCATTCAGTAATTCTGAGCTGGGACCCGGTCTTTTGTGTGTCTAACTACCTCACAGATAGCGCTGCTGTTGCTAGTGTCCCGAGAGCCATGACCGAAGCCACATTCTAACCCCAGGAGCACGTGTTTGCACACATACAAATATGTAAATCAATACATAAGAACAGTGAACACTTCAACGTGGGGATCGTGTTAAAAAGCAGTTTCTGACTGTCGGTCTGGGGTGGAGCCCAAGACTCTGCATTTCTGACCTGTCTGGGCGATGCGGGTGCGCCTGGCCCCGCCCTCACTGGGCAGCCAGCGAGAGAAGGATCCACCCCTGAGTAACAGCTGTTGCCTCTACGGAGGGAAGGGGCTGTTGAAAGGATTCCTTACTCTGTAAATGTTCACATTGCTTAGAGCAGGGGTCCTCAAACTTTTTAAACAGGGGGCCAGTTCACTGTCCCTCAGACCGTTGGAGGGCCAGACTATAGTTTAAAAAAAAAAAAACTATGAACAAATTCCTATGCACACTGCACATATCTTATTTTGAAGTAAAAAAAACAAAACGGGAACAAATACAATATTTGTATTTGCATGTGGCCCGCGGGCCGTAGTTTGAGGACCCCTGGCTTAGAGTTTCTACAAATGTCTCTATTACACGTGTAATTTTTTTTCCCAGGATAACCTCCAAAGCCCACAAATACCAAGATAACCTATTAGAAAGCAGGCAAATTAGAAGCATCCAGAATTAAGACATAAATGACTGAGTGTTCTCTTCTCTCCACTAGGGCATCCACTTGTCTCTCTTTTTTTAAGAGTGCCACTAAAGAACAATTGTATTCCTCCTCATTAAAAAATAAATAAAAAGGACCACACTGCCCCCCACAGGTAGGCCAGGATCTGGGGAGCCTGTCCACTCAGATCTTCCTGTGCTCCCCTGAATGAAGCAGCACTCCCTGTGACATTACCCTCAGAAAAGGCCCATTGTCACCCACACCCCCGTCCCCCACTCCACTCTCGGCCCCAGGTGAAGAATGGACTTTACAAAAAAGCAGTTTACACAACGTCCTATAGGTACCATTTATGCAACAACAACAAAAAATGCCCCCAAATATCCAAGGGTATATATTCATGTGTGGAGACCTGCTTGCTGTTTTGTTTTCTTTTTGAGCCTGGAAGATTACACACGAATCTCAAAACTGTCACTGACCTCTATTTGAAAGCTGGGGCTCCGCAGAGCTGTAAAACCAATTTGGCACAGGCTGCAGAATCAGAAACTAGTGAGCAAAATCCTGAATTTGGGTCCTGTATACACTTAAATGGGTAAAGCTCATCATGTGTCCGAATAAGCAAGATGTTTTATGTTCATTTAAGCCCCGTGTGTTCGTGGATATATAAAGCTGTGTTTGGATTTCTATGACTTTCGTATGAATTTCATGTCTGAAAGTCACCTTGAAGTCGGTGGTCTTTGTCCTGTGAAGAATCAGTCTCTGGTCTCCCTTGGATATGTAAAGAGAAGATAAAAAGGTCCCTGTTGCTGGGTTTGGGAGGAGAGGCAGGTGAAACTGAGCCTAGAGCAGCGGTTCTCAACCTGTGGGTCG